AGGTACTACAACAATGTAAAACTAGTACTATATTACTCTACGCCTTGTACTACTTTTTGTAAATGTTGACCAAAATTGAAATGATCTATTTTCGTTCAAAAAAGTAGGTACTAATAGGTCAAAAAGAGGTACCACGCAGAAGAAGATGTGGTACTATTATAGCTAAAACATGTACTATTTTAAAAATCGTGATTTCTCTAATCCTTCATGTCTACCATTACACACGGATCGTTCACGCATGATTTGGACGAAAAATAGTGGAAGTTAAAACATATAGGTAGAATTTGGAGTAGACATTTATGATGATTCTATGAAATGAAATGTATCATTCAATGAAATGAAGTATATTAGTAGTGTTTTCTCATTAGTATGTTGAGTGATTATGGGTCATATAAACATCATTTGCGATCGAAATTCAGTGATTTTATATGTTTGTTACAAGTGGTACTAAAGAGCTAATATCAGGTACTAAAACATCATAAATTGGTAGTGTTGTTCTCTAGGTCTGGTACTACTTTTTGTAAATGTGAAAAAAATAAAGATCATTTTGATTAACCAAATGTAGGTACTACTTGATCAATAACAGGTATTGTATAGAAGAAGAAGCGGTACTATTTCCGTCAAAACCGGTACCATTCAATGAGTTGAAGTGTATTAAGTAGTATTTTTCCATTAGTGTGTTGAGTTCGTGAAGAATTTGCGATTAAACTCAATAAAAAAACATTTAAAATCTTATATAAATTAATGTGAGAGTTATTATTGGTCGTATAAACATTATTTGCGACCAAAATTCGATCTTTTTTATGTGTTCATTACAAGTGGTACTAGAGACAGCATATCTGATACTAACACGCCGAATAGTGGTACTACTTTTTGTAAATGTTGACCACAATTGAAATATGCAACTTTTCTTCACAAAAGTAGGTACTAATCGATCAAAAGCAGGTATCACGTAGAAGAAAATGCGGTATTATTTTGGCTAAAACAAGTACTATTTTCAGAATCGTGATTTCTCTAATCGTTCATGTCTACCATGACACGTGGATCGTTCACACGTGATTTAGATGAACAAAAGTAGATGTGAAAACATATAAATAGAAACAATAATAGTCATGTATGATGATTCTATGAGATGAAGTGTGTCATTCAATGAAATGAAGTCTATTAGTGTTTTTTCATTAGTGTATTGAGTTCATGACCAATATGCGATAAAGTGTTAATAGTGTTTTTCCTTCGTGTTCCGAGTTCGCGACCAATTTGTAATTAAACTTAATTAAAAACATTATAAATCTCATATAAACTAGTGTGAGAGTGAATATTTATCATGTAAACATCATTTTAGACCGAAATTCGGTGTTTTTATTTGTTCATTACAAGTGATACTGATTAGCTAATATACGCAGACTGCCCTGTCTCAGACCCGTTGTTATGCAAAACTCTGTTGGGTCGAAATTAAAAACCAAGTTATATCCAACTATAAACACATTCAAATCTACCATGTACGTGCTAACAAGAGCCTCAACGCTACTACGTAAAACTGCTAAATCGGGCATATTCATAAAAAAATAAAAAGGACTCTTTTCAAAAGCCTCTTTGTGCTTGTCCGAGAGCACAACAACCATTTTATCCATCACATCTTTGAAGTATGAGGGGGCACACCTACATCTTAGTTCGGTACCCTATCAAAAACAAATAAATAAAGTCAATTTTCAAACATAAGAAACAGATATAAACAATGATGCAATTCAACAATAACAACACCTCAACCCATTTTAACAATAATACCACCTCATTCAAAATGATATAAAACACCTAACAACACCACAGTCCTAATTGCTATTCAAATTCATATAAAACATCAAACAACACCAAAGCCCTAATTTCTACTCAAATTGATATAAAACACCAAACAACACTTCAACCATAATTCGTATTCAAATTGTTATAACACACCCACTCCATTTCCTCAACTATTTCAACAATGGAGAACCAAACTGAAGCACCAATACCAAACAAACAATTGCCCGCTCAATTCAACATCTAATAGAGTTCGATTTCAATTTATTTGGAAGAAAATTCAATTACAAATTATTGTTCATGCAATGTGAATTCTGAGCTAGTTCAAGTGGAAAAGAAAAATGAACTAGATATTCCCATTATGCTTCAAAAAGCATATATATGTTGCAACTCTTAAGAATTTCAAAATTAATTTACAGCAATCAATATTTTTCATGAGCAAAATGAATATCCAGTTCGTTTTGCTTCTCCACTATAACTTGTTTACATTTTTTTTCCAAACATCAAATGAATCAATAAAGCTCGGAATTACAGAGTTCGGCAAGCCAACGGGTTTAAACAACAACAACAACAACAACAACAAACAGAGAAGTCATCTAGTAGTGATGCTTCGCTAGATGACCAACTAGCGGGCAGTACCTAGAAATCAAATAAGGAACAAAAAAAAAAAGAAAACTAGCACAAACACAGAAATACACAAGGAAAGACCAACTGACAATAAGTCTACTAAAGTACTAACACAACCACGGACATAACAGAAAAATAGAAAAGCACCTACACAATGAAACAAAAAAGCAAAAGAGAAACAAATGGGCAATATTAAACTGAGACAAACTTCCAGCAGACAACCTGAGTCCAT